CCGTGTTCTGTGGGAGACGTGGGTTTGGAGATGAATGATTGCAGACTGAGGGGGTAGAGGGAGAAAATGCGTCCTCCTCTCTGACCCTCTCTGAATTTACTGTGCCTCCGCAGGGAGGTGAAATAGTCCGATGGCACCAGTTTCTAAACTGCAAGCAAAGGGAAGATGAGAAAGGTTTGAGAGAGCTGTGAAATCAGGCCACAGCCCCTGCCAAGGGACTGACAGCAGCCTTGATGAGAACTGGAGGTGGTGGAGAACCTCTTTCCTGCTTCTCTTCTCCTGATTTTTATTTCCTCATCAAAAGAGATGGTTAGTGGTTGACTAAAGAATTAAGGACAGTAGGGAAAAGGTTGTTAGTGTAAAACGAGGGTTTGGGTTCATTTTTAAGCAGCTCCTTTGGAAGTTCCTGTAGCCAAACTCAGGCTGTGATCAGCAAACAGGGTGCTCCGTGTTCAGAGAAGGAGGGAATGGCTTCTGCTCTTCTGTCACCCCAGGCAAGACAGCTGCATGCTCATTGTGTCTTTTGCATCCCACGTAATTACGGTGGTGACTATATTCCTCCTCCATGAAGAGCCTTTTCTGAGCAAGATATGATACCTGTCTCATGGGAGACGTTACTTTCCAAAGCGGACACTCAACACTCCCAGAGGAATCCAACCTCTGAAACTGCACAGCCCAAACCGAGCCCCCCATGCCACTGGTATTTTTCCCTGCTGTTATTTTTAAAGAGAGCAAAAGAGGCTTAAGTTTATCTAAAATTATATGCAAAGTTATAATAAGGGGAATTATTATGCAAAAAAATGCATTTCGTTGGGGGTTTAGGTCCCTTATTTTTTCCCCCTTCACCTCCCTAATTGGTTTGATGTGAAGCAATTATCCACTTTATGCAATTAAAGGTAAGATTTTTCATAGGACATGTACCGCAACAGTAATTACATGGGCCATTGCACAAAGAGGGACTTGAATGCAACTTTTGTCTTTGGGTCTCACATAATGTATGTCTTCAATATGCTAGCATGGTTAGTAGCCACCCAATTGTTATTGTGTAATTGAATACAACATTTAGACTAATTTGAAGAGTGCTTTGCTTCTTGTTTCTGTTTGTATACAGGCGTGATTTAGAAATAAGTGACATGTAGGCCACTATTAGTATTTTTTTACTTTAGGGCTATGGGAGCGTCACATCGACGTTCTCTTTTCTTCCTCCACCTCCTACTGAAGTCTTCTGTTTTCACTGATTAAGAATGCTGGTACATTTTATTGACATTCCATTGTCTTCAAATTTGAAAGGGTTTGCAGAGGATTAAACTTGGTATCTGAACTTATTATATGATTTCCTTGGCAAAAGACAGTATTTTCTTCAAGTAAATACCTCTTTTGTCAAAGAAATTGTTTCCAATTTTTATAAGTAACAAGTTGTTAATAAGGTTACCCTTGGTTTTTTCCACATGTAAATACAACTGTGCAGAGTAAGTATTTCTGAAGTATGAGGGTGTGGCAAAATATTTTGTGATTTAAACTCAAAATATGAACAGAATAGCTTTCAGGCATAATGTCATAGAATTCCTATTTGCGACATCTGAGCACGCATTCCAGAAAGGTGTGGAAATAAATATGTGTATGTAGCACTGTCAGCGGTGGCTAGGTGGTGAAAGCTCTTATGTGACAAACTAGATTAAAAAAAAAAACAAACCTCAAGAGGTTCAGGAAGGAGAATTCATCAATGCCAAATTAAGATACGCTCAAATATTTCTTGGAAGATAGAACCTCATTATCCTACTGATTTATGGAGCAAAGTAATGACTATAGACAGCATTGTCTAAAGACAACAATGAGCACTGCTATATCTCAGTAATAATTAGAGTCACATGAAATCTTCAATTTCTTTTTTACTGTTCTTAGATGGTTTGTAATATAGGAGAGAAATACACTGCACATGGCAATCTAAAATGTAATGAAAATACGTGGCCAGAGTTGCTCCCATATTTAAAATTCTGATTGCAATGCTGCCCACCAACAAAATAATAGTAATTTCTGGCAGGAATTATAAAACCTAAACTACAGCACAAAGCGTTGTTCACCAAATTACTCATTCCATATCCACAATTACAGCCCATTTGTTTTCTTATGCTGATAACAAAAGATACATTTTACGATCTGTGCTGTGCTACTCTTCCTTTAATAAATAAAGTGAGCTTTTCAAAAGCTACAGAACGATGTGGATAAAAATCAAAACATTTCTACATTTAAAGATTCAATCAAAGACTTGCCGTGAATGGTGTGATATTAAAGTTAAAAAAATAATCAATTTAGTGTGTATTTTTGAACATGATTTGTCACAAATAGCATTCCCAATAGATAAGAATGATTATATGGTAAAGAGCGTAATTTATATATCTCAAGCACTATGCTTTTGTCACCGACATCGTTAAGGAATTTGACACGTTTGCAGGAGAACAATGTATGTCAACTGAAATATATACCAATTAGCCATAAATGGGACACTGAAATGAATGATGCATGTGCATGCTATACTTACAAGTAATAACATGTGGTTTAAAGTCGCTTGCGTTTTCAAACAAGAATTCTTTTTATGTTGTCATTTAAAAAATCTAATATTTCAAAAGGTCAGGAATAAATAGCACCATTAGCATTAAAAGCTAGCTAAAGGGAAAGTAATTTGTTGTTCATTTAACATTGCATTTTATGTAATAGCTTTGTAAAGTGTTCAGAGGGGGGTAGAGAGATTTTACTCTGCTAAAGCGAGATGACGGCAGCTCCAGTTCATTATTAAAAGGAGATTTTTTATTATGCTATTGTCAACTTTAACGTCTTGATTCTGTTAGGTGTTTGTTAAAATTACATGGGCTGCTGAAGTGGCTATGGCAGAGGATAATGCAGAGAATATCACGACTGTCAAAACAATTGTGTAGGCAAGAATCTGCTTATACTAAGGTAAAGGAACAAAAGACAAAGGAGAAACTCTACTGCAGTGTTAGGAAGTTAATAACCCTGCTGCGGTTTCCTCAGCAGGAGGTGCTGAGATCAAGAAGCCAAATTCTGCAAGAGACAAATCGTCAGGGCAGGAGGAAGGAGGCGATGCCGAAGGGACGCGGGGTACACGGAAACCTGACATCAGATGCCAGCTCCTGTGTCTATGGCTGTGCCTCCTCTGAGCAAACCTGGAGCTATTCATCTCCCTGGAGAGGGGACGTGTGCTCCTCCTCAGACTGGATGGCACGAACGGAGTGTGAAAATACGTAGAGTCCTGCGGCTGGATCCTCTGCCCCCTGCAGCTGCAGAGAGCCCGGAAAGGCTTCGCAGGAGTGACCCAAAGGTGGACTTGCCACAGCATGGTGCAGGACAAACAATTCACGTCCTTGAACTTATTAAGCCTTAATCTTATTCTACTGCTGTGAGGCTGACCACAGGTGGGAAAAAAAGGAGCCAAAAAAAGTGTTAACTTATACTCCTCATGGCCAGCGTAGGCTGGGAAGAAAACACACAAAGCAAACTTTGCTGCGCGCTTGCTGCTGCCATGAGCTGCAGTGTAATGAGGTGAAGATATCAGGGTGAAAACCAACTGTTTTTCTGACTTGAGAGAAGTTGGACAAGAAGTTGGCTTAGCATTCTAATACCCCACACACCTGTGACAGCACAGCAAAGAGTGTCCCCTTTACTAATTCACGTATTTATTCCCTATTGTCCTCCCTGGGGCAAGGTTTCAGTGACTCAGGAAACAGTGATTCTCCAGATGAAAACCAGGTTCATACTGTGCTCCTTGGGGCAGCACAATAGGGTTGTGCCTCTTCATCTGGGCAAGAAGCATAAGTGCAATTTAGAAGGTTTTTAAACAATAAAAACAAGCCTGCACATCTCTGACTAAAAGTGAAACTGCTGGGGGATATTCTCTGCAGTTGAGTTAAACCAAGGAATGGTTTGGTTTTCATGTAAGGAACTTATTCTAGCTCTGAGCATGCCCACAGGTTGCCAGCCTTAGGTGCTCATGTCTACTCTACAGTCTCCTTTTCCTCCCATCACCATGTGAGAGCTGGCAGAATGAATTGAATTAATTAAACTGGGTTCTTTTCTTCTTTCTCCTGTATTAGAAGAGCAATGTTCCAACACAGAATTACTGAAAGGAAATTACTGAAGAGGAAAGGTCCCAAAGAGCAGTAGATCTCCAGGACCCAGTATTATATAGGGACAGAATTTAATTTGTGAACTATCCACTCTTCAGCTGAACGTGTTTATCAAAGAAAGAGAAAGAAGTGACTCCATTGCACTACCTGTTTTGACTACATGATCTAGCAGTTTTGTCTGAGGCTGAGGGCCAGCATGTGGGACTTCAGGACACTTTGGTGATTGTAAGTGAAACTTGATCAACATTTGAAATTTGCTCCTCAGCTTTCTCAGATTAATTTTGTCCAGATCATATGGTGCAAGTTTCACTCAGCATGAACACAACAAAAGGCATTACCAGTTCTCCATCATGTTCACTGTTCTATCTCTCACAGGTAATTAAAATTAAACATTTGTCCTCATTTTTTAACCACTTTACCTCTTCTTTCATCTTTATCTCATGCTAATTCTGGGTTTAGTCTTCATTTTAAGAAAATCAGCTTCCTTAATCCTCTTCTCTCCTCTCCTTATACTCACAAGGAGTCCACTTTCTCTTGGCACTGTTTTCTCTTGGTACTGCCCAGGAGGCACTACCCAGACTGTGTTACCTGTGCCCTTTCCTCCTCTTGTCTGAAATTATTTTGAAACAGGCTGAAGTCAGGGGAATTTTTCGATAGGCTTTGACTCATTCAATCCTAAAGTTACTCTAAAAATGCTGTCTGTGGAGAAGTATCCACAGACTTAACCCTCACCTCCCAAACCAGCAAAAAACCCCAACACACATCCCCAGTGTTGTAACTACAGTGAGTGCAGACCCCAGTGCTTTATGCATGACTAGCTTTTATTGGTAGCGAGATTTTGGGCATCCGTATGTGCTATTAGCAAGCATTAAGAGTTTGCAGAACATCTTCCCTCACCGTCTCAGAACCACAGAAACGATACCTGAAGAAAAAAAAAATACAAATGCTTTGAGTTGTCAACTTTAAGATTATACTAGTGGCTTTGTTTTAAATAAGTCAACCTGATTTGTAATCTGACACAACTGAACACAACATACTTTGAGCTCCTAAATTTGGAATACTGCTGGAAAAAACATTGATGGACTGTATTCATTCTGGTTCATTACCTGCCTTCCTTTAGTTTTACAGTTTCTTTTTTTTTTCCAAATTGTGTTCTGCCATCACTATGTCGATGGTCACAACTCCTTGTGCGAAGGGCACGAGGCAATAGAAGAGTGAGTACCTACCTACAGGAATATGCTTCATCAGCAGTGTGCTTTGATGAATAGCAACTACAACTGAACTTAAGAGCTTGTTTAAAGGTAATGCTGATGGGCTGTAATCATTTTACTTTGCTTGACACTGTTTGCATTTCCGATGTTGCCTTTTAAGTGATGGGATTTTAGCTATGAATTTTTATATGGGTCTAAAACACATACTGTACCTCCTCTTCTTGATATCCAGTCATGGGTGGATACAATAAAATAACTGATCAAGAAAATTGAGGGAGTTTGTTTTAAAAATCCAGGAAAATGAGCAAAACTGGATCAGGAAATCACACTTCTATGATCTGAACATCCATATTCCACAAAGTCTAGAGAAAGCA